TATAAGAGAATATGCTTGTTTTTAGGAGATGCCAGCTAAGTGAGTGAAGCACAAGAGGTCTACAAGCTACTTTCTAACAGTTCAGCTGACAGTTTGCTGTATGTATATGGTAAATAATAGGAAGATGTTATCAATTAAGAGTTTTCTTTGACACATTGTTTTGCTTTTCTTTAAATGTACTTAGGGTACAGATTCCTGATGGCAGATTCAATAATGAAACTAGAGCTCCTCCAGGCCAGACTTGCTTTACATTTCTTAGAGATTGTTTTAAAATTGTGCTGTAGTTTAGACTCAAGTAAATGTTTGGCAATGAAAAGTTTTGTATCAACTTGATTGTTTTCTTGCTAGGTCGAGGAAGCCAGGGACAGAGTACACTCTCTTTGTGGATGAATTATGTTTATGTCTTCTTCATTTTTATTAAAAGGTTTGGTTCTGAGCAGATACATTTTGCCCCTCTGTGGTGCTGCTCATAGGACCATTACTTTTAAACTTTTTAAGACCCTTCCCCTGATGGCACCAGAGGAGGACTGCAAACCCCTGGGACCTGGGGAAGTTACCTGGATTTATCTTAAAAATTCATGTACATTTTACTCTCTGCCAAGTACTTTATCTAAAAAAGTCTTCTCCCAAATTTGCAGTTAAAATCAACATGGCAGAAAGACAACTCTTATTTCTAGTCTAATAAAATTCCTTTCAAAGAGTAATATTTGTAAATAACACCTTCAATTAATTAATTATTAATTGGAAGTTGGTGCTGGGGATACAGTGATGGGTGAACTGGGCCCAGTTCCTACTGTCAGGGCGATTCCAGCCCCATGAGGAGATGGGCAGGTCAGCATACAGGGAGCTTGTCAGCACGGATCGCTTCAGTGCTGTGACGGGAGTGGATAGAGGCGGATGCACGCGGAGACCCACCCTGGGCTGGCGGGTCATCCAAGCGACACCACAGGATGAGTGGAGTCAGCGAAGCAAACGGAGCCGTGCCGCACCTGCCTGTTGCAATGCCTTCTGAGAATAGTTTTGGGGTTAAGGTCAGCTTTCCCAGTTCCCCCAAAGTGATGCTTTCAGAGCAAGATCCTTCAGTAGTTTCCTCTTGCCTGCAGGAAGAATGCAGGGCATTTGCCGTCTGGTCCCCTCTGACCTTCACCACATCACCTCCCCGTGCTCCCACCCACAGTAGGATATCTGCAGTTCTCCGAGCATTCCTGGGTCTGTTGTGTGGCTCTCCTTTTGCACCTGCTTTTCTCTCTGCCGGGTCTACTCATAGCCCCTAGCATATGTGGTGAAATGCTTCCCATCCCTTAGCGTAAGTGCTGCTCCTACAGACTCCTACGGCATCTTGCACCGTCCTCATCGCTGCCCTTCATGTATGGCCATGATTAGTGTCTCCTTCACACAGCAGAAACCACTCAAGGGCCCAGGAGCAGTTTTTTCCATCATAGTAGCTGCTTATAATTGTGTCCGTGTCAAGCAGACACCCAAGAAATATTTGTCAAGTGACCAAAATGATAAATCCCTTCATCTGGCACAGGGGCTGCCAAGTGCCTCAGCCTCACCTAGAACTGATTGTTCAGAATGCAGATTTGAGGACCCTACTTGCGATTCTGATGAACTAGGACTAGGTGAGATGTGGAAATCTCCATTTTTAACCGGCATCCTCAGGGAGTCATGAAGCAGCTTCCTGGCAGCTAGGGGGGTGACTTGCAGAAATGATGGTCAGAAAGTCCTAAGTTGTAGGGGAGCACATTACAAATCCAAGAAGGAGATCATGAGATATTTCCTGGAAGAGGTAGTATTTTCTCTGTGCTGTGAGTGATGAATAAAAATTGAACATTAGAAATGATGATGGAGAAAAGAGATGAGCAAAGGCTCAGAGGCGGGGGACTGCGTGGGTGGAGTGCAGGTATTTGAAGGGGCTGGTGAGGGATGAGGCTGGGGAACGGGGTTCAGGTCACCTGGGTACCAAGGAGGAAAGGAGGTGCCTCCAGCAGGGTTCTGAACAACGTTAAGGACTTGTGTGGGCTGGTTAGGTTCTTTTGCCTTCCTGGGGCTAGAGCCTGACACGGGACTGTGTCACCACAAAGGTGCCTATCTGCTCACCTTTTCTCTTTGTAACATTAACAACTTCTGCAAAACTCCAGCACCTCTTCTCATATTTAAGATATACTTTCCCTATAGACAAGGTTGGCAAACTTTTTCTGTAGGCAGACAGGCAGTAAATATTTTAGGCTCTGTGGTCTCTGTTGTGACTGCTGACTCTACCATTGCAGATGAATGCGGCCACAGATGATGTAAATAAATGAGGGTGGCCGTGTCCCAGTAAAACTACTCAAAAACAGGTGGTCTGCCGGATTTGGCCTGTGGGCCAGTTTGCCAGCCCCTGGTGTAAAAGAAGGCATGGTTTAATTTGTTTCCTTACCAGTCGTCAGTACAAGATAAAGAGCAGAGAGTCTTGTCTGCTTGGGGAGCCTAGGGGCCTGAGGTGTTGATGATGGTGTGAGTGAGGGGCAGAGGGAAGAGCCTAGGATTACCAGCTTCACGCTGGGGAAGTGCCTGAAAAAACCACTTCATCACATGAGGATGTCAAGTGCTTTATCATCCTCACTCTTTTTCTTGGGAAGTTGGCTTTGTTGATTGTCATTCAGGGAAGCTCTCGTTTAATGACTTCATATGCTCTTGTTGCAACTTGCCCTAAGAATATTTCAGTTAAGCCACTGATTTATGCCGCCAGTTATGGAGACCACACTTAATGCTGGGTCCTTACTGCTATCAAGTGGCTACTTATCCCTCAGCCGGTACTGCTTGTGGCAGGCAGTGTGCGTGGCTGAATGGGGAACACCTAAGCCGGCATGTGCAGCCTTTTCCACATCATCTTGGGAGGCTTTGTCTGAGGCAGCACATGTGGGAATTTTCTATTATCACCCACTTTCAAAGGAACCTGGGGTCCTGGTTGTGTGAAAGTGAGTGAGCTTCTTTGCAGCATGCTCTCAGGGCCTTTGGTCAGGGTTAAGCCATAAAATGCTTGTCCTGAAACATGTCTAGGCAATGGTCAGGTTCAGACTGAGGTCAAGAATAGTTCAGGTCACTGGGAGTGGATCTCAGAGCCAATCTCTGCCTTCCCACATCCGGTGAGTCACCACTGCAGTGCTGATTGCATGTTCCTCAGGACGAGATCTCTAGATGCAATCCATATCACACCGCCCTAGGATGTGTTGCTTGAAATTTGAAATGATAGTAAAACAGATGCCATTTGGACCACTTGAGATGGCATCCATTCCTAACTAGGTGCTGGCCTCCCCTTACCCTTTCAGTACATTTCTGAAAAATTGTGCTGAAGGAATTTTTGTAAATCAAACAGTGTTTTTCCCTTTGATACACACTCCCACTTCAGGTGACCTTCACTTCCACTTGTGACAGTACTATGCTCTGGGCCCCTCCGACAGGTAATTATAAGTGGATGGTTGGTGGAGGCCATGCCCATGTGAGTGGCATTGGGTCTGTACTGTGCAGCCTGCCTCTATGTCTTAAAGCCAGCATCCTGCCTACTCGCAATTGATTTCATTGCATGATTAAAATGGCCAGAACGAAAGAATCTTGACCCTTGTCTGGCTCAGAGTGGTGTGTGCAAGCTCTGGACTCATAAAGCAGCTGTTTGTCCTTCAACCAGAGCCGCTCGTGTGTCAGTCCAGTTCCTAGTTCAGTCAGGGCACAGTGTACTCTCAGCTCAGAGGAGAGCAGGCTGAGTTCCCGTCCTGCTGGCCAGGACACTGATGCAAGGCTGCTTGTGGGTATTTAAGGATCTGGACATCTTGGAGTTCCCAGCCATGCAAACAGAGGGAGCCAGTTTTATATTTTACCCTGAAAGTAATGTTAAAAATAGTGATCGATGAGGCCGGCCCCGTGGCGTAGCGGTTAAGTGTGCGCGCTCCGCTGATGGTGGCCCAGGTTCAGATTCCGGGCGCGCACCCACGCACTGCTTGTCAGGCCATGCTGTGGCAGTGTCCCACATAAAGTGGAGGAAGATCGGCACGGATGTTAGCTCAGGGTCAGTCTTCCTCAGCAAACAGAGAAGGATTGGCATGGATGTTAGCTCAGAGCTGATCTTCCTCACAAAAAGAAAAAAAAAATGATCGAATTCTTGTGTTAGCCCATAAGGCCACCTTAATACAACGGTAGCTGAAATGCTGTACCTTTCCGATTAAAAAAATGGCAAAATCTTTTGAATTTGAGTAGCTCAAGTGTTCACAAAGTCAATATGAAGTATCTAAAGTAAAACTGAATGATGGCATTTGAGGATGCCTGCATCTAGTTTGAGGAAGGGTATAGGCAGGAAATTTAACCAAGAGTCTGTAAGCTTTCTGGGTCCTTTAAAAATAAGGGTTAGAATACTTTTGAGTATTTTTTATGAGTAAGCAGAGTATTATATCTCCTCTTGATTTGTAACCTACAGCTTTCCTCAGTAGGTCTAGATCACTAACATGATTTTAATGCTTATCCTCTATGATTTAGGGCAGTTTTGACTTACAAAATGGATCAACAGAGGGAGATAGATTTTTTTCTGTGATAACTGATAAGAATTTGAAAGGGTGGAGGAGGAGGAGGTGGGTGGTGAAATAGAAGACGGACAGCGATGTTTAATAAGGAGCTCACAAGCTCAGCAGGAAAGAGAGTCACCCAAACGCCTGGCATCCCCCACCCCCAAGGGGAAAGGCAGCGATGGCAGGGGCTGGGGTTGGGGTGCTGGCCCTGACTGCAGGGCTCCCCCAGGGCCCACCCTGGGGCCGTCTCGGGGGAGAGCAGCAGGAGGGGAAGACGGAGAGGCCAGCGGCCCTGGCTGCATGGCAGAGGTGATCTTTGCAGACCGGGGCTCTTTCTTCCAGGTGTGCCTGCGTTTGCTCATGTGCTGTTTGTCTGTGGAAAAGACTGTTAAGCTGTCAAATAGTGAACTACCTCGGTAGTTCCTGATGCCGTGATCATGGTTTTGGTCTCGTTTCTTTTAGGTTACCCCTGTTTCAGGCCAGTGCTTTTGCATTTCTGGCCCCTGCTCGAGCCATCCTGTCTTTAGATAAATGGAAATGTAACACCACAGGTAATTGCAGCTATTTCCACATATGTCATTGGGGGCCTTTGATGCAGGTGGTAAAAGGGAGGCCTGGATGTGCTGCCCTCAGCAGCGTTAAATCCTTTTTGGAGTCAGGCACAGAACACACAAACCAGCAAACAGCTTAGAATGCTCCAGTCCGTGGATCGTGTTCCTGTCTGTCTCTCTATCCACTCGTGCATCCCTAACCCCAGAGCAAGTAAGGACCAGAAAGGACCTCATTTCTCTATGCTAACGAAATTGATAAACATGGGAATGGAATAGAAAAGTATTTGTGCTATTTTTCTGCCTCTTTCTTTCAGTGGATTTTATGAACCACCAGTAATCACTCTCTTTGCTGCGTCAGCATCCCTTCTCTGAAACATCTCTGCTTTTTAAGGGTCTGGCTGCTTTGGTTTTCTGCAGATGACTTTCATCCCCCCACCTCCCCGTAGTGATTGCAAAGATCCTTCAATAACCCGATAAGGTCAGGAAAAGATCAGCTAGGGGATTTGAGAAAATCAGACCTGTTGTACTCTCAAAATACTGTTAGATTTTTAGGTTCTAGGAGCAAAGTTATCCAGCCTTCATTTCCTTCCTTGCTCCTAGGAGTTACCTTGTGACCACTGATTTGATTTAGGAACTGGAAAAGGCCCTCTGTTTTATCTAGGTTTTTAAAACCTCAGTCAGGCAACCTTGCCATTGGGTATTTCAGTTAGCTGCTTGCAAAGGTTGGTCTTTGTGTGAGGCTGGCACTCGAAATGTGCATCACCACTTCAGTCAGCTTTTGACAAGCCGGGAGCTCTCAGTGATGAATGAATACGGTTAAATTAGCATTGGGGAGTCCACCTTTCAGTATGGTAAGCCGTACTGTTGTAACTTGAATTTTAGGGATGGGTATTAATATAAATATACTTGAAACAGGGAGGAAATTCTTCTTACAAAGAATAAAATGAATGTGTCCTGTGAAACATCAGTGTCACTCCAACAAAAATTTTCTTTGTTTTTGTTTTCAAGATGTTTCAGTTGCCAATGGGACAGCAGAACTGTTACACACAGAACACATCTGGTATCCCCGGATACGCGAGGTAAAGGAGAAGCGTTGCCTGCTCATGGCTTCTTTCTGTTTCTTCTCAGCTTCACTGTTGGTTGTGCCTAAGAAATTGCAGTTGCTTGTACTAAGCTGCCCTTTTCTTTTTCAACTACTGACATGTTTATTTCTGTTGTTAAACTGAATTTGGATGACAGCAGTATAAAATAAAGCATGCAGAAATGTTCTGTGCAGTCAGACAGTATTGTTTCTCACCCTTGTTTCCCTCCTCCTTTCTCCCCCTTTCCTCCCGTGCACCCACAGACCTGCCCACTCACACCCTCCAGCGTAACCAGCCAAGGGGAGTGCCTCCCTTGCACTGAGCTACAGAGGCTTCTCAGAAGGCAGCAAAACTATTCATTCCAGCCTCAGTGTTTGCCTATATCTGTGGAAGGAATTAAAGATACTTGTCTACTACGGTGCTTTTGAACAGAACAGGGCATGGGAGTCCTCAGACGTGAAGAACGGCAGTTCGTCCAGATCTTTCAAAACCTACAAGACCATTCACCATTAGTTCAGAATTAGCACCGATACGGCCGTCGTGCACAACAGAAACATTCCTTTAGAATTTTTATCAGTAACACTATATTTTAAATGTCCTGCAGTGGCTAACTTTTTTTGTTTTTAATAAGTTTTTTTATTTTTATTTATTATTTTTTGAGGAAGATCAGCCCTGTGCTAACATCTGCCAATCCTCCTCTTTTTTTGCTGAGGAAGACTGGCCCTGGGCTAACATCCATGCCCATCTTCCTCCACTTTATATGGGAAACCGCCACAGCATGGCTTGCCAAGCAGTGCATCGGTGCGCACCTGGGATCCGAACTGGCGAACCCCGGGCTGCCGCAGCGGAGCGTGCGCACTTAACCGCGCGCACTTAACCGCTTGCGCTGCCGGGCTGGCCTGGGGCTAACTTTTTAAAGTCAAGAATCTTTGTAATGCAGTGTTCCTTGGAGCGTTCCTCCGAGGCTGGTTTTGAATGTTTTAAATGAGAATTATAAGTTGTGTCTGTCTCGTTTCTCCGTGGGAAAGGCCAGTTGACTTTGTGTCCAGTGCCTGTTTCTGTAATTCTCTCACGTCAGTCACATCACACTGAGGTTTGCTAGGCCCCCTTCACCCCCTCTGGTTTTTTTTGGGGTTCCCCAGGAATTTTCCAGCTCTGTCATGCCTGTTATGTAATAACTCGATGCTTTGCAGAAGTATCAGTTGTGGTTGCAGGTGACATTGGGGTGTGTGATGTACAAGCGGCTCACTGCGATGTCTGTGCCTCTCTTGTTCCAGATCCAGGGAGCCATCATCATGTCATCATTGATAGAAGTGGTCATCGGCCTCCTGGGCCTGCCTGGGGCTCTGCTGAAATACATCGGTCCCCTGACCATTACACCCACGGTGGCCCTCATTGGCCTCTCTGGTTTCCAGGCAGCGGGAGAGAGAGCGGGGAAGCACTGGGGCATCGCCATGCTGTAAGTGTTCTGAGACCACTCAGGAGTGGATGGTAAAAATCTCCCTCTTCCTACTACTGAGGGACAGCCTCTTTGAGCATTTGGAACAGTTACGCAAACTTTAGGAGGCTTTTTAAGTGAAAATAGTCTGACAGTTTAAACTTTATTTGCTTTATGCTAGAGAACTATTGAAGGGTTTTTTAGACCCAGAGGTTTGGAAGTGACATGCAGTCAAGGTATTCCAGAGACAGGTTTGGCAGTGATGTGTAGAGGGAGGGTTGTAAGGTTTTAAACTTGGGGAAGGGAGTAAGATGGTGGCGCCATTAGTTCTTAACCTCTGAGGTCACGCCAAGTCTCATGCACATGAGTTGAAATACTGAGGAGCCAAATCCTTTAGATGAGACTCAAAAATATTTCCAGACTGGCAGGAGGCAGAGATGCTGTGGGAGGATGTGTTGGCATCCAAGGTGACATGGCTCCCAAGGCCAGCCAGAGCTCTGCACACCTGTGGGGAGGCTGTGGTTCCTGCCAGAGTCCTGCTCATCAGTGCTGGTCCTTGTGCACAGTACTTCAAGTCCATTAAAGATGTCACTTACCCCTTTAAGTCATGTCAGTAAAGACATCCAGGACGTTGATAATATTGTAAGATTGGTTATTAGAGCCACAGAATTCTGTGTACCAGAAACAGAACCCACATTCTTTTTCTATGTCTGTAGAGCATAGTAAGAGTAGACTATATCATAGGGAAGTGCTTCCAAGACTCTCAAATTTTACCGACCAGTAAAATTTCTAAAACAAATTAAAACAAACAGGATTTCCAGTTGTTTTTCTTTTGCTTTGTGAAATATTCTGTGATTATTCAATAACAGGCAGCCCTCACTGAGCCTGTGTATCATTGCTTTACATAACCCTCATTGCACATGTGGTAAACTAAGGGGGGTACAGTGTAATCCTGTTTAACAGCAAAAGAAACAGAGCCACAAAGATGCCGAGTTAGTTGCCCAGGGTCACACAGCTAGTAAGTGGGATGGTTTTCAAAACCCAAATAGTCTGACTGGAATTTAACCCATGACACCGATGTCTCTCTGTGTTAGAACATGATGTACAAATAAAGTGAATCTTTGCATCACTGTAATCCATATATGCTTACAAATTAAGGTACGTGAAAGTATTCAGGATTGTTCTGAATTTTCTCATTTCACTGAAGGTTGGTCAATATTCTCCACACCAGGTTGGTGTGTAGAATGCATGTAAGAATGTTCATTCAGTGAAATGCGGTAAGTTCCTAACAGGAGAAATTATATTTGTCATCTTACAGTAAACGTAGAAACCAGTAACAAAAGGGTGAACAAAACCCCCAAACTCCTTAGGAGCTAAAAAAAACACTGTTATATAACATGTAGTCAGAGAGGAGATTGAAACTTCACAATTGCTAATAATTTAGAAAATCATGATAACAGCACTAATCACACTGACAGAGCAGTCAGAGTTGTTCTGGAGAAAATTCATAACCTTTAAAGGCAAATAAAGTACATGAAGAGCTTATCTCCGGAAACTGGAAAAACCAGATTAAAAATGAGCCCAGTGAAAGCAGGGAGAAAGAATTAATAAGGATGCAAAAAATAGGAAACCAACAGAAGTGGTGCATCCAGAAGCTGGTCCTTGGGAGAAGAACACAGAGGCGGACTTCTGGCCAGGCTCGTGAAGGCAAGATGGGGGTGCACACACAAATGGAGGGGTAAAACCGCAGGTCTAGGGAGATTGAATTAATTCTATGCTCCTTGCCTCCAGATTTAAAAAAAAAAAAAAAAAAAAGATAAAATGGGTGGTTTTCAGAAAAGCATAAGTAACCTAAAGGGACTCCTTCTTCTCCTGAGCTCTAAAGTCGGGGCTCCTCAGAACTTGGTCCTGGGCCGCCTCCTCTCCATGTGCTCTTCCCCTAGGAGATGTCGTCCAGTCCACAGCACCAGCAAGTGTCTTTTATGCTGGCAACTTCCACAGAAACCCGTAGCCCAGACTCCTGAACTCCGGGCTTAGATCCAGCCCCTGACTTGAGCTCTCCATTTGCTGTTACACAAGATATCTCAGACTTTAAAGGAGGAAAGCTCTGAACTTTTGATTCCCTCGTTGCCCCCCAAACCAGTTCCTCTCCTGTTGTCCTCTTTTTAGTCAAAGGCACAACGATGCACTCAGTTGCTTAAACCAGAAACCCTGCAGTCGTCCTTGATTCTTCGCTTTCCCTCGTGCCCCATGTACCACCTGTCAATCTGTCCTACCTCCAAAACAAGTCCTGTGTCCTCGGGGTCTTCACTGCTACCGCCCTCAACAAGCCTCACTCTCAGCCATCGCTTTTGAACTGGTCTCCAGCTTCTCTTTTGCTCCCTTCCTGTCCGTTCTCAGTCCTGTAAAATGCTTGGCCGTTATCTCTTCACGGCCTCCTCTGCCTCCTCCTTTTGAAACTGCAGTTAGACTCATGGAGTTCGGGAAGATCGTAGGTTGTCTTGTCACAGTGTCTGAAATCTCACCAGCTGCCCCTTGGTGGTCCATTTACATCTTGGGCTGAGCACTCAGGGCCTTTTCCCTCTGGAGTCTCAGGCAGGCATTGGTAGGAAATGATCTTGAATTGTTTCATGGGTGCCCTCCTCTCCTCCATTCCTGCTCATCTCTTTCTGGAACTTCTAGAATGTTGGACCTCCTGAGCTCTTCCTCTACTTTCCTCTTCTGTTTTCCATCTCTTTCATGTGTTTTTGTCTATTCATGGGAATTTTCCTCAGCTTTATCAGTGAATCTTTCCATTGAGCTCTTCAGTTCTGCTCTCATGTTTTTTAGTTTCCGAGAGCTCTTCTTTTGTACTTAGGCTGTCAGCTCTGTGAGGGCAGGGCCTCGGCTCTGTGCAGGTCACCACAGAACCTGCAGTACCCCGCTCACTGTCACAGAGCAGGCGTTCTCTAAGCACGTTGTGGATAAGTGAGAGGAGGAGCGGGAGGCATGAGTACACCCGTGACCACAGGGAAGGTCAAGAATGTTGTCGACGGACCTCTATCCCTAGGAGAAGACCTGAGCTCCATTGGTTAGACAGTGAGTGTATTATATCTTCAAGGAAGAGAGAATTCCTGCACTGTTTAAACTGTTCTGGAGCTTTGAGAGAGAAGGGAAACTTCCCAGTCAACTTTATCTTAATGACATTTCCTGACGGAGCTAATACAAAAGGGAGATCCTGAACCAACTTTTTCCTTCCTGGGGTTGTGTAAAACCCTGAGCTGAGTTCACATATGTTCAGTTAGTAGCGTGCTAGGCTCAGCCTGTTTCTCTTCTGTAAGGCTCCTTGTGATCTGTTAAAATGCAAGTATGCAGAAGACTCTTTTCAGAAAAGGGTCTTAGTCTCCAGCTCTGCACACACTTATTTTTTTAGTGCCACGTCTGTAAATGTATTTGGGAGGAATGATCCATGGAACGTGGTTTGGGAAAATGCTGGGAATAGAAGGATTTTTCATGAATAAGATTTTAAAATGCCTCATATTTTAATGGTGAAAGACTTAAATCAGGCCTGCCTATTGAAATCAGAAACTGAGACAAGCATGTTTATTAACACCAGTATCATTTGAAGTTGTTCTGGTTGTGCTAACCAATGTGTAAGACAAGAAAATAAAATAATATGGCTCAAAATACCAGAAAGGTCAGGGAGAAGGGAATGGTGACTTGCCCTTACAAGAATTAAAATACCTTCCAGAGCTTAATAACAATACTGTGGTCCTAGGACAGGATAGACATTGGTAGGGCAGAACAGGAGGGATAGAAATAGAACCAAGAAGAAATTCATATTTAGTGTATGATGGCAGTCACATTTGAGATAAGTGGGGAACAGAAGAATTGTGTAGGAAAAATGGGATAATTATTTGGAAAAAAGTTAGCTTCCTGGTTAATGTCAAATTACATTTCAGTTAAAGACTTAAATATAGAAAATAAAACCATAAAAGTGCTAAAAGGAAAGCTATATAAATATTTAACAAGACAGGGAAGATCTTAAAGCAGATGTTAAAAGAGAAAGATTGATAGATTTTATTCCTGATGCATTTAAAACTCATATCAAAAACCACTGAAACTAAATTATAAATGAGTCTGGGAAAATCTTTACAACTAATTCCATAAGAAGGGCTAATGTTACCAATTCATAGAGTTTCACTAATTACTATAAAGGAGAGAGAGTTCCAGTGGAGTAATGGATGAAGGATATGATAAGAACAGCCATGTAACAAAAAGAGGAAATACAGATAGCCAATTAGTGTGTAAAAAGGGTTATCCTCCCCAGTTATCACAGTGCATGTTCACTCAGATCCGTTAGCAGTGGGGGTGGTGGTGGATCAGGTTGTACAGCATGGGTTCCTAAGTCACTCCAGTGGAGGTGGCATTTAGAGACAGATTGTCAGGGGAGGGTAAATGTGGCAACCTTTCTAACACATGCTTAGGTCCTCGACGGGAACTGCTTTTTTCTTGAGGAAACTTATTTTTTGTTTACTTTTCTTATGGATAATTTCAAACCTATTCAAAAGTAGAGAGAATAATGTAATGAACCCACCGTACCATCACCAAATACTCAAGTCTCATTTTATCAATATCCCCAAATACATTTAAATTCTAGTCATTTGAAGTTTAACAGTGATTAAACAGGGAAATCTAAAATAAAATAATAGTCCCTCCCACCCCCATCCCTCAAAAAAATCTCCTTGTGATTAACTAGTAAAAATGTAATATTGATCCTTCCATAGACTTATATCGTTTATGCATAAATACAAACATATGCACTTATACAGCTTTACCATTATATTATCTTATAATTTGTTTTTCGCCCCAACAATTTGTCGGGCTCACCTTTCCAAGACAGTGTGTTTAGAGCTATTTCATTCTTTGTAAAACTGCACAATGTTAAATAGTATGAAATAGTCTATAATTTATTAAACCATTCCCCAATTGATGCTCGTGAATGTTGTTTAAAGTATTTGCTGTTGCAAACAATGCTGAAATATGTATCCTATGTATTCAGATGTAAAGAATGAGTATTAAAATGAATGATAATACAGTGTTTTAAATTAATGAAATCAGTAGAGATTTCAAAGTATGATAAGACCCTGTGTTACAGTGAGTAGCAAATGAATGTTCTTGGTCTCTGCGTGGGATTGTAAATTCACCCAGCCTTTCTGTATGTATTTGGCAGTTTGTATCAGAAGGTTTTTTTTTTTTTTTTTTGCGGAAGATCAGCCCTGAGCTAACATCCGTGCTAATCCTCCTCTTTTTGCTGAGGAAGACCAGCTCTGAGCTAACATCTATTGCCAATCCTCCTCCTTTTTTCCCCGCAAAGCCCCAGTAGATAGTTGCATGTCATAGTTGCACATCCTTCTAGTTGCTGTATGTGGGACGCGGCCTCAGCATGGCCGGAGGAGAAGCAGTGCGTCGGTGCGCGCCCGGATCCGAACCCTGGCCACCGGTAGCGGAGAGCGCGCACTTAACGGCTAAGCCATGGGGCTGGCCCCAGAAGCTTTTTAATAAGGTATTTACTGTTTGACAGATCCGTTCTAGTCCTAGGAACTTGTTGTAAGGCGATATTCGGACAGGTGCCAGGGAGAGGTGATTCTTCACGGTTGTTTATGTTTCTCCCAATGTCGTACCATGTGGGAATTGTTAAACAAGTTGTGGTACATCCATAAGGTGGAATGCTAAGCAGCACTATGATGATGATGCAGATCTCCATCTGTTGAGGTCATGGCATTAATAGGGGCTCCACGCTGGTTGGGAAGCAGCATGTAAGGTGTGATTCCAGTATGGGTCAGATGATGACCTGTTTGTGCTCTCACGGCAAAGGTGACATCGGTCCTTCCTGTCTCCCTCTCTAACCCCAGTGCCCAGGACCCAACGACCTGTAAATATCCAGGGAACAGAAGCTGTTCAGAATCAGTAGACCAGGATGTGACATGGTTGTCACCCAGTGGTGGGATAAGTGATCTTTAGGTTTTTGTTCTTCTTTTTGCTTATCTGCCTTTTATAATTTTCCTACCTTTTAGTATGTATTGCTTGCATAACATTTATAAGGTAAAAGAGAGGTCAACGAGAGCAAGCAATATGTAAATGTGAGGTGGAAAGAGCCAGCTATGGTGGGTGGAACCCTGGCCTGAGGATCTGGGGCTCGGATCCTTGTCCCTTCACTTCTCAGCCAAGGTGTGTGACTGGGCACGTTCCCCCACCTCTGAGCCTCTCTGCTATGGGGCTGCCTGGCCTACCTGCCCCACAGGTGTATTTGAGGATAAACATAAATTAGAAGTAGATGGATTTTGGAGTGGGAAGAAGATGGAGCATTCATTTGTCTAGTCCACTCACTTAATTTGTGCTGCCAGATTTAGGCCTGGGATCTGGATGTCCTTCGAATTCTGTATGTGTCCCTATCCCCTTTTAAAGATGCTTTGAAAAGTGGCCACCACAATGCAGGTGTAACTGTCAGGTGGGGTGTTGCCTGAAATAATGATAACAGTAATAGCAGACTTGGGGCCTTTTTGGATCTCAGAGCGTTCACTTTGAAATAAGTTAGCATTTTTTAAAACATGAAAATTTTATGTTGGTCTAAGTTTAAAATAAGCCAGTTTTAGTATCCCTCATGGCCATATCATTTTTTTGGTTAAACTTCACCACCCAGGAGCGTTGGAATAACGTGGGCACCATGTGTATTTTCAACCTTGAACTGGTACTGGCCTGGTGACCTTGTGGCAGGGCAGAGACCCCCGTTGCCAGGTCAGTGAAGCACCTGAGTAGGTGGGGAGACGGTGGAGCAGCACAGGCCTGTTCTCCAGCCAGCTGCAGTCTCCACCTCATTAGGAGTGTGACAGTGAGGCTGCGCTTGACTGGTTGTCAATGGGGCTGATAATTCCATCTCAGCAGTTGGAACTGTGCCCAGGAACAATTAAGCTCAGCTTTGACTGAGAACCTACTCCTCTGCCAACTCTCCCTCGGGTTGTAAGTGCAAGAATGAGTCCCTGTGGGTGATGAAATGCATTGTTGTACGCCTTTATTGTTTCAGTGGTGGGGAGGCATCCCACACCCACCACAGCCGGGGCACCGGACAGAGGAGGACGTGTCAGTCCTGCTGCAGGGAAGTCACTTGATGTTGCTGCCTCCCGCAGGGCTCAGTGCAGCAGGGTCGGGAGTATGGAGCTCGGGGTAGAGGGACTTCTGAGCCCACCCAGGCATCCCTGCCCTTTCGACCAGTGTGGCAAAGTCGTTCAGAGCCCAGGCTGTAGTTCTAGCCCCATGGCCCACCCGCCCTGCCAGCTCTAGCTGTATGATCTTGGGACTGCTGGCTTTGTCTCTCTGTAAAGTGGATGATCGAGAAGCCACTGCAGAAGGCTGAGGTGATGGGCCGGAAGACCTTCACATAATGAATGACACACAAAAACCTCTCAGGAATGTTATTATTAATGTCGAATTCTACTGTATATAGCTTTCTTAAATATTGAAGCTTTACTTTTTGCTTTTTAAAAGTAATTTAGGCTCTTTATAAGTAAATCAGAAGATACAGAAAAGTAGAAAAAAAAGTCACAAATCATATTGCTACTTAAAGCCAATCCCTGTGAGCATTTTGGATTCCCATCCCTCTCTACTGTTTGTGTGCGCAGGCGTGTGTGTGTGTACATGCACACTCGTGCAGTAGTTGTTTGTTTTTAGTTAGTTCGTAGTTGTAATTATACAGTGTGGTATGTTGTGTCTATCATCTTGCCTTTGCCCTTACATAGTGAGCTTTTCCCATCAGTGTACACATTCTTTGGGTTTTCTTATTCTACTTAGGAAAATTTAGCCAAAGCATTTACATGGCAATTTCATTTCAATATCAAGAAATTCTAAGAAAAAATTCTAATAGCTTTCCAAAAATGGAATTTCCAAAAGATATGATTTCCCAAATAATAGTTAAGAGGACTAGCAGCTTTCTAGAGAAGTGAGTTGAACACGTGATCAATTTTGCTGTTGAAGCTTTGAGTATTACTTTAAAACACAGACATAGAGCCTTTAATCTAGTTTATTTTCTTTCTCTCCTCAGGACAATTTTCCTAGTATTACTGTTTTCTCAATATGCCAGAAATGTTAAATTTCCTCTCCCAATTTACAAATCCAAGAAAGGATGGACTGCATACAAGTTACAGCTTTTCAAAATGTTCCCTGTGAGTAGTCACCTTTTTTTCCCTGACAATATTGCCTGTGGTTCATATGTAAAATGTTTAGGCGAAAGGAGGATTTTAAGCAGGTCCTCTTGGGGGACCATGTTTGTGTAGTGACCTCAGGGTACTAATGACCACCCAAATCGTCATGGACTTAAAGTTTAAAAGCGGTGGAAGGTTCTGATTCTGAAATTCTGTTAACAGTTCAAAGGAGGACACTGATTGTCCTTGGGATTGAGGGAGCTCTGACTCCACGTGGCCTCTGCAGGCGCGTTGTCTACTATTCTTATTTTACCAGCCAGACTTAGGGTTAAAGTAACTTCACCTGCATAAAACTGCTCTCTAAATGTGATTCATTCAGGGAATAGGTTTTCAGCAGATCTGTTGTGTGTGTTTTCTGCAAAGTACTGACTCTGGTGGGTTCCGAGGTGTGATATTGAGACTGCAGGAAGGCCTGTGTTTCGCCAGCAGCTGCCATCTCTGTTGGCTTGACAGAGCTGTCCTTTGACCCTTCAGATCATCCTGGCCATCCTTGTGTCCTGGCTGCTCTGCTTCATCTTCACGGTGACTGATGTCTTCCCTCCTGACAGCACGAAGTACGGCTTCTATGCTCGGACGGATGCCAGGCAGGGCGTGCTCCTGGTAGCCCCGTGGTTTAAGGTCCCATACCCATGTAAGTATTCTGGTGGCCAGAGGGGTCAGGAGCCCATGAGGGGCCAGTTTAGAGGAGTTGGAAGTTGACAGAAGGTTCTCCAGCAGGAAAAGTCTTCTCTGTTCCAGAATGTCCCCTCAGGTCTTACCAGTCTGGTCATTTGAAGATCTGACAGCAAAAAAAGGGAGGCCCTGTCCTTGGAGTTCCATAATTAACACACAGAGACTAACCAGCTCCCTTCTCAGATTAGCTAGTTGGTTCTTTGGGTTCCACTAGGATGAAATCCTGACAAGGAGTCTCTTGGCAGGTTTGAGGTCTGGTGGCTAGGATTTGAGGGCAGCTGCTTAGAAAGGCAAGTATAGCACCAAGGCGCCAAGAGGAACAGACTTGAGTGCTCAAGCATGATGGAGTTTGTGTAATCTTTTAATGGATAGCTATAATCTTTTTTTTTTAATTTGGTCATAGCTTTCAGAGGAAAATTGATATTCACAAATAGATGGAAGATGGGTCTTAAGTTATAATTTAAACGTTGGATAACTCTTGACAAGGTACGGTGAGGAGACGATCCCTAGCTGAGATATCACTTGGATTCATGTTGCACACTTCTTAGACCCCCTCTTCAAAAGTGACTTGTGTGAGCCCAGGGTTATTAGTGCTTGGTTGTTCTATTGTGAAGGCTCTGTTCCCAGCATTTGGGGTTTTTATTAGAATTGAAGCCTGAGCTTCGTCAGGTTGTGCCAGTTTATTCCTCTGCTTAGCAATCCCGTCTTCACATTTTATAATGACCAGGAGAAAAAGCAGGAAAAGCCAAGAATATTAGGATTGGGTCAAAGACAACTGTTCTAAGTATGTTAAATGACAGCGATGTTGGCGTTGTTCCTTCTGTTCTTGACATATTTACAAACACTTTAAAAGTTTAGTCTTTCTAAAGTAACATTCTCATCAGATCATGTGGTCTAAGTGTGTATTTATGTATACCTGTCCTTTTTCCAAAAAAAAAAAATGCATGGTTCATGTACGTACATATGGTCTGAGATAAAATGAGATTGAGTTAGTTGGTGAGGCTGTCAGGAGGAGGCGTGGGAGGGCAGGCAGGAAGAAGCCTCCAGGGCACATGCTGGGTGGTCTCTCTGCTTGTGCAGGCAGCTCCCAAGATGAGCACGAATAGGAACACAGTGGGGGGCTGTCCAGGAGAAGCAGCTGAGCATGTGGCGAGGGAGATCTCCCCCGGGGCCATGGAGCCCATGTGTGAGAAGGTGTCACCGAGTGGACAGGGCACTTGGCATCTTCATGGCAGTGAGTGCCCTGTTCCTCTTCGTGACAGCCCTTAACTTGCCTGAGCTGCCCCCTTTTGTCAAGACTCCCCTAGGTAAAAAGCCACCCCTAGAGGGCCAGAGGATGTAGCCTGATGTACTCACTGACGATTTGGCTGAATTCGGAGACAGGTTTTCAAATATCTAGAGCAGCGGTTCTCAGTCTTCAGTTAGCTAAGAATTACCTGGATTGGTTGTTAAAATACAGATTTTGGACCCAAAATATCAACAGTGCCGAGGTTAAGAGACCCTGCTGTAAGGTAACAATGTAAATTAAATGTTCTAGTTAAAAGGAGAGATGAAATAACAGTTAAGATAGAAGGCTGGAAGCCAACAAAGTTTTTAATACATCTATATAATCTGAAGGAAAAGGGATCAAAAACTTAGAAGATTACAAATTTTGAAATGTTGAAGTAGGTGGGATAAAGATTTTAAAATTCAAAATTAAGGACTTCTGGCAAAAGGGAAAAGAATAAGAAAACAGTAAAAGAGACCAAGGAAATAAAAGGCAATTTCTGAAAAATAGTAAATAGCCAAATAAAATAAGAATCCCTTCCCCCAAATCAGGAGACTAAAATGAAACCACAATGCTACATCAGTAACAAGGTAACTATGTAAAAGATTATTTAGAAAATATAAAATGTTGCTTGATAAAGAAATCACCTGCATGAGAAAAATCTGTTCCAAACTAATGCGGAGATGAGATGTTGACCAAGCCTGTTGCTGGTGGGCAGAGAGCACGCCGAGCTGTTGCGCGTGGACGTGCCCCCTGCCCCTGATCACAGGCTGCCTCTGGTCTTTTGTCTGTCCCCACGGGGTAAAGTGGCCCCAGGCGGGAGCAGTTCTGCCCTCACACACACTCCAGGCGTGTTCTGCACGTCTTACTTCATGAGTCATCTCTCTCTTCCCTGTTACCCACGAGACAGAGGCCAGGCCCCCTCTGTGTGGCTTGTCGAGCCCCTCCTAAACCTGCCTGCCCCACGCTGCACGTGCCTCTTCTGAGCAGCAGCCCCTTCCTGCCCACTTCTGCTTGTCTGCTGATGCTGAGGCCGCTGCCCGCCCAGAACGTCCCTTCACTCGGCTCCCCATCTCTAGGCCCTCTCTGGACAGGGACCGCACCTCTTCTGCCTCCTGACTTGTACTCCATGTGTCCCCATTTGGGTTCCCTTCATTTGAAGTCTAACCATTACACTTTCTTAGATCTTTCAGTGACCTGTTCCCCCAGCTGCATTGTACAAGAGACCATTTTATCCATCTTTCTTTTTCCACTGTGCTTATACTTAGTGGCTCTATTATAACTAATGGTTCAAGGGAAGAAGTTATCAAAGAAGTGTATTCATTCTAACAGAGAAAGTTCCTCATGCTATTTTTATTAAATAACATCTATGGCTTTCAATGTCCAAATCGAGATTTTTTTCTTTAACGGTATCTGATTAAGAATTAACTACATCCAGATACTCAGAAGGAAGCTACCTGGGGACTTCTCTTTGCTTTCTTAAAGGAAACTATTTCATTTGCCATAACATGGCTTACTAAAAAAAAAAAAAGTGCTGACATAACACTAGAGAAGGGTTGTCTATACCTTGTGCCATGTTTACTGTCGGGATTTAAATTTAGCTGGTGACCTTTCACTGCTTTTTCCTTTGATGCCACCGCCTGGGCGAGAGCACCATTATTTTGTACCCTGCTTTGCATAGCAGGGCCAAAAATCCTTCTCATACAGTCCCAACACAGCAGGCTGTGTTAAACTGTAGTTGAGTAGACGCTGAGTGTGGCTTTGAAGCAGGAGGAGCAGCACCCGCCTCTTCCAGCCAAACAATTTCTTCTTTTAAATGAAGACATAGAGCAGACCAGTCCTGGTTATGGCATCTTCATCTGACCCAGCAACTGTTCCCGGGCATCTGGTGCGTCGATGACTTAGGTTTAAAAATAAGCAAGGAGTTTCCACAAGCCTCAGAATCTGAGCAGATCTTGTCAAGTCCCCTGATGTACTGAATGACTCTGTCCTGATAACTCTGCCTGCCCCACTATGAAAGTGTGTGAGGTTTCATGTTTGTTTTCCTTCCTTAGTCCAGTGGGGACTGCCCACCGTCTCAGCGGCTGGTGTCATCGGCATGCTCAGCGCGGTGGTTGCCAGCATTATCGAGTCCATCGGGGACTACTACGCCTGTGCGAGGCTGTCCTGTGCCCCACCGCCGCCCATCCATGCCATAAACAGGTACGTCCTGGGAAAATGAGTTCTTCTTCGGGCCCAGCGCCTGCGACTTGGCTCTTTGGTTTGGATAATCTTGGAGAAGAAACCAAGAGTGTCAGCATGAAGACAGCCAAGCATCAGGGCTCTTTCTTGGCCATTTGTCTTTGGACGAGTCACTGCCCCACTTTGCTCTCATTTTCCTCATCTGTCACATGGAGCGGAATTCCCACCCTTCCTCCCTCAATCACATAAGACGGTCTCTGTGAGACCACTCCAAACCTTAAACTCACTAAAGACAAGTGCTGGACGCTGCCTTGTTCTTTGCTTGGTTTGGGGTCATGGATATAAGTCCCTTAGATTTCCCAGCTGTTCTTAGGGGTAGATGCTGTGTCATCTATTCACAATTACAACTCATATACTTAGAGACAAGAAGAGCAGGAATCAATGAAGTCTGCAGAATCTAGAGGTTTTGGAGCTGTGGGGTTTACGTTCTCAGCACACCTGGTCTTTAGTTTCTGGATGCAGGGAGCAAATTGGGCCTTATAGAGGCTACAGAGAAGAGAAAATAAATAGCTCAGAGCATTCACCCTTTTGCAGCCGGCTGCTGCCCCTCCAGGAGCAATTGTGTGTGATGAGAGCCAGTGGGCTGGTGTCTTAGCATCTCTTGCATTGGTTCTGTTAGGGTTTACAGTCCTGCTTTTTCTTTCTCTAATGGAGCTGTTGCATGTGATTACATTACTTTATATTGATTCTTTAAAAAGTTCTAATGTTTATAAAATTACAAAGCATTTCCTTCCTGATGAAACTATATATTAATCGTAAAGGAATCAAATCAATGGACACCCCATGTTTGTCTTAGGTCCCAACAAATGGCTCTGTTTTCTGGCTAAAATCTTTTAATGAGGAATGATTTTTGAACACCTGTGTCTAATGTGTGGTTTAGAGAGGTGTTTCTGCAAGTTGAATGAGCATGGGGGATGCCAGTACAATGCAGGCTCTGCTTTGGCAGGTCTGGAGTGGGGCTTGAGATTCTGCGTTGCTAACCCTGCCGGGAAGCGTGGAGGCTGCAGGTCTGTGGACCCTGCCTTTGGGTTGCTACCTTTTAGAGCATATTTCAGAGTATTTCCCCCATTGAATGAATGTTTCTCTTTCCCCCCGTTCCTTTACATTTTAGGGGGATTTTCGTGGAGGGTCTCTCCTGTGTTCTCGATGGCATATTTGGTACTGGGAATGGCTCTACTTCATCCAGTCCCAACATTGGAGTTTTGGGAATTACTAAGGTACAAATATTTTTCTAATTAAATGGTTGGGCCTCTAAGCATTGGTCCATTTCATTGATTGGTCTGACCACCGGGAGTTCCAAAAGGAAGGCCTTTGATTCTGAGATGATCATCTCCCCCATCTCCTTTTTTGTGTTGATGGGTTTTTGGAATGCCCGTGGAGGTCTCTCCTCCCGCCGCTGGCCCAGATAGGCAGGCACTCAGGTGCTGCCATTCCTCTGTGCATTCTACAAATTTGAGTTAAGCCCCGACCCTGTGCCAGGCCACTTCTAGGCAGTTGGTATACATCAGTGAATAAAGAAGAAAACTGTCCCTGTCCTCGTGGAGTTAACCTTCTACCAGGGAAGACAAGCAATGAACAAAAACATGGGGCAGGGTGGGGGGGTTGGGAGCGAGGGTGAGTAAGTGTTAGATAGGGTCAGGCTAAGCCTCCTTAAGAAGATGACCTTGAGCAAGGGCCCGAAGGAGGTGAGGGAGGGAGCTGTGCAGGTGCCTGGGAAATGGCCATCCAGGCAGGGCGATGGCCAGGGCAAAGCCCTGTCATGGGAGCAGGCTGGCGTGTTGCAGATCAGCAAGGTGGCCAGTGGGGAGGAGCAGACGAAGTCTCCCAGGTAACTGAGGACCAGGTCACGCAGCCCCTGTAGGCTGCCAGAGGCCGAGTGGAATGGGTCCCCCAGGGTGTGACTCGATCTGGTTGTTTTTTTTTCTTTCCTTCTTCTAAGGGTCACTTTGGCTGCTGAGAGTAGACCATGGGGGTGGGGGAGGAGGTGGAAACTGGAGACCACTTAGGAGATGATGGGACTAGTTCTAGGTGAGAGATGATGCCACTGGTTCCAGAAAAAAAATCGGTCTTACGGTAAAGAATTAACATGGTTTTTAAACCTTAGCAGCAGAATCCTTCTCTTTCAGCTGAAATCTGTTGGTGGAGTTAGTGGATAAAACAAGCCCCAGCGAGTCACTCAGGTTGAGCACGGCCTGGGTCCGAGTCCTACTCACTTGCCTCTCTCCCATCCCACTCCACAGAGACACCTGACCCTGGGGCAGCCGCACCCCACAATGCAGCTTCCTATAAGAAGGAACCTGCTCCTAGGGCTCGCAAATTTATTACTAGCAAATAAACTTTATATCCCAGTTGCCTTGGACCAAAGTATGCTGTTTGCCAGCTTGTGTCAGCTCGCCCCGGCCATTGTATGCTGTGCAGCCAGAGACTTGAACTGGTTCACCCCCCAGGATGGCTTGTGTGAGTCACAGATCTCCCTTCTCCCTCATCAAGCACTGTATTCTGAGAACTTGAGGATGAGCCAGAGCCTTCTAAACTGTTTGACCTCCATAAAATTAGAAATCCTTCCCCCAGCTCTCTGTGAGATTCTATAACCAGATGAAACCAGATGCTAAGTTTGGTTAATCTTGACTGCAAATCCAGGTGAGAGGGAGCAGGGCATGCACGGTACATGCCTGACATGTTGGTTGGTTTTCCTGTAAGTTGGCAGGGCCATCGCAGAGCCCAGCCTCAGGTTTGCAGATGGCCCCACCTGCTGCCTGTTGCTCCTGGCACGTGGCATGTGAAGTCTGCTTGATGAGCACTTCCTTCAGGATCCTTGGGGAGAAGCAGATGCTGAGCACATGGGCACTGAATGGGGCAAAGCCATTCACTCTTTAGCCAGTTTGCTGCCGTGGACTGTAGACATATAACTAACCCAAAATAACGTAGTAGTAAAATTGTTGTAGATGGTGGGACTCTTGGGGGGAAACAGTGTAACAAGCCAGTCCGCTTTCTGCATCTCTTTAAAACACATCCTCATGTAACTTATCCAGGGTCACCTTAGGGAGTAAGTGGTGTTGCTCATTGAAATTCCTTTCTAAAACATGACTAAGGTTTGTGGAATAATTATCTTTATTACAGTTTAAATGATGGCAGCGAATTCTGAAAAGGTACCCTGCCAGCAGTTTTAATGAGCTAATTGATCTTTCGTCTGAATCCGTTTGCTTATCACTTCCCCCAGGCAAAGATGTCATCCATTCAAGGGCACTGTCAGCCCTGGAATTTTTCATTGCTCTGACTGACAAGGGGGTATAGCTGAGCTGCCTTGGGGTGGGGAAGTGGGACTTGCAGCAGAAATTTCTACAGCTGATGGGAGATCCCTGTCTAGGAGAGGGAGGCATGAGGTCTAGGCTGTCTTCTGCCCCTCGCCCAGCTGAAAGATGGGACAAGTCACTTTTCTGTGTAGAGCTCAGGTCTGAAATCTGATGATTCTAGATCTACATCTATGCTGTCCAGTATGGTAGTCAGTAGCTACATGTGGCTGTTTAAGTTTAAATAAGTTAAAATGAAAAATTCAGTTCCTCAGTCAGACTAGCCATATTTCAAGGGCTCAGTGGTCACATGTGGCCAGTGGCTGCCAAAGGACAGCACAGATACAGAACATTTCCCTTGTTTAGGAACAAGAACATTTCCAATGTTCTGTGTTATAGAAAGTTCTGTCTGACGACATTGCTCTGGGCCATTGTATCAGACGTCAGGAGTATAGAAAGAGGGTGATCCATGGTTCTTCCACAGACTCTGCCTCCATTTCCTGGCACCTCTAATATTTGCTGTCCTTTATCCAGTTATGACATTCCATGTACCTGGAAATTCGAGCCTATTCGATCAGGAGTTGAGGCTGCCTACCGCGCTGTGTGTTCTGAAGTTCTAAGGTGTTGGACTCCATGTGCAGGACCTCTCTGCTGAGTGTGTTCCAACATCTGTCCCACGCGAGGGGCTCCATGACACGATGGGGAGGGGGCTGCTTTGGATTCCAGCCCTGGCTCCATCACTTTCTTCCCACGTAACCATGAACAAGTTACATCACCTCGTTGAGTCTCCATGCCCTTGTCTATAAAGATAGTTTGCAAGGCATCGGAATTAACAACTTGATGTAAAGCACTTAGCAAAGAGTCCTGGCATGTGGTAGGTGCACAGTAAACTATAAATACTGTTATTATATGATACTTAGTCCTAAGTTTATTTCTGGGAACAGAGTGAACACCATCTCCCCTGACTGTACTGTCTCTTTGGTGGTATCCAGAGAAACGGCATTTCTCCTCTGCTGCCTTCCACACTGTTGAAGAGTTTGGAAAGTCAGAAATGCAGTGGCGATTTTTCATTGTCCCTGAGGCGGAGCCGAAGTTCAGGAAGGAGGTCAGAGAGAGGCGATTAGGAGATTCCAGGGAGTGGGCAGCGGGAAGGGAGACGCAAAGGCTCCATGCAAGCACTAGGAGGGCAGAGATTTTAGGGCTGTGTCTCTGGTATTTGGAACAGAAGTCTATAATAGGCACTTGGTCAATATTCGTCGAACAGAAGAATGGCTTAGTTGCTGCTTATTTCTTTTGACAGCGTCTAAGGCAGATGAGTCTTCCTTCCATGCATGGTTTTCGTATAAGATTTATTGTTTCAGGTGTCCCTGGGGCCGCCTGGCCCTCCGCCTGCACTCCTAACAGGGCTGACTCTGCTGGGAGGTGGTCTTTGCACAGGTGGTTCCCTCTGCCTGGAGGCTCTTCCTCCAGTGAACTCTTACTCATCCCTCAAGACTTCCCCAACTCTTCAGAGTTTCTCTTCCCTGCTGGGCTCCCATGCAGTGTATCAATTTCAGCAGCACAATTATTTGATCATAAGCTTGTGACGTACTCATCTTTGTACTCCCCCGAGTCTAACAAGTGCTAGTCATAGAGTAGGTTCCTTAAAAAGGTTTGCTGAAAAATGAGCCATTTATAAATAAAAGGCTTCGTTATCAGATAATATAGCCAGGCTTAAATCAGTGTTGCTCGATTTGCCAGTTTGCATGACATTTTCACTGCATCCCTGCACTTGGTGGTGGTGTAGTGGGAGGAGCCGTAGAGGAAGTGGAGCCTGGGCTCCAGTGTCAGCTGTGACTGAGCCTAGCTGGGCAGCCTTCTCTTCATACGCTCAGTAAGAGTCAATTCTGATTCTGAACCAGCTGGCCCTTGGGTCCTTTGAGAAGGTGCTGGAAGCTCTAGACCAGCACTGTCCAGGAGAACATTCGCAGTGGTGGAAATGTTCTACACTTGTGCTGTCCCATGTGGAAGCCACCAGCCACACTTGCCTTAAGAGGACTTGAAATGTGGCGAGTGCAACTGAGGGACTGAATTTTAAATTTCATTTTGTTTTAATTAACTATGTAAGTAGCCATCTTTTCCTCATTGTAAATCACAGATAAAGCCATGTGGACACTGGACACTCAGATGTTTCTGGAACTTCCTTTACCTGGTTTACATCCTCAGGGTGTTTTCCTGGGAGAGGCAGCACAGAGTGGGGGCCAACAGTGCAGGATTCTTGAGCCCAATGCCTGCTCCACCTCCCGCTACCTGAGTGACAGGGGGCTAGATGGAAGCTTTTAGAAGGCAGAGATCAGGCTTAATATGAAGATGAGATCATGTGGGAAATGCTATACACAGTGCTGCGGAAGACTCCCCCCAGAGTAGGGAGATGCCAGCCTTGGAATCAAGGAAGGCTTTTCAGAGGAGGTAGAATTTGGATAGTGTTTTGAAGGATGTGTCTGGGAACCAACCAGAAGAGGGATATGGGAAAGGGTGTTCCAGATAGACAGGCCTGGACATGCCTGGTACACTGGGGAGCAGGCGATAAGCCCCGGGGCAGGGAGCTCGCCTGTAGGCTTGGCTCCCTTGGCAAGAGCCTGAGAAGTGAGTTTTGTTTCATCGGCACCGGAGGACTTAGGCAGGGGACTGACCTCCCAAATCAGTCTGTTAGAAAGGTCACTCCATCACAGTGGAGAGGACAGGTGGGTGGAGGAAAGATGAGGGCCAACAAGCCCAGGTGGGAGGCTATCAAATAGCCTAATGCCTTCCAGGCGCAGTTCAAACTGTTTTACAGGTCATTTCATTTAATCCTCAAAGCAAAACCACGCAGTTTATCATTATAGAGATGAGGATTCTGCCACTCAGAGAGGCTGAGTAGCTTGCCCTGGTCACATGGTTAGAGGTGGCATGGGGATGCGAGCCACGCAGCTGGGCTTGAGAATTGTGCACTCTTTGGTCTGTAGGCTATGGCAGCTCTCATGGGCAAGACACCATGAGGAGAGGAGGTTCCAGAAGTGATTCAGGGTCCAGGGAAGATGGAATTGTTGAGGCTGAAGTGCTTTGGGGTGGGTTAACTAGGTGAAGGGTGATGCCAGGAACCCAGAAGAGAAGCAGCGGCAAAGTGTAGTTTTGCATTTTGCCTCTGAGATACTAGGAGGTCATCCCAGCCCTGGACTGTGAGGGCATTAGAAACCCAGGAGCTGAGCACAGGAACAAGTCCACACTGAGGTGACATCACCCGGGGTTCGGAGAAGCAAAGGCGGAGTCCTGGGGCCACCCACAGTCAAGGGGATGGAACAGGGGGACGGGAATGAGGAAAGGTGGTGGGAATCGTTTTACTCTGGGTGTCTTTATAGTAAGTTATAGTAATTTTGTGTTGAGATCAGTCCTCATTGTGAAATAAGACGGATCCCTCCTCACTAGAAGTTTTCAGAGTAATCTAGGTTTTGTCTGAGGATTTTGTTACGTTTGCTCTGGGGGTTGCTGGGTGGAAATTCACGCTGTGGAGGACCTCGAGGTGAAGGCCTGTCTCTGCCCTCTGGTGTGTCCCGCAGGTTGGCAGTCGCCGGGTGATCCAGTACGGTGCAGCCCTCATGCTTGCCTTGGGCACGATCGGAAAGTTCAGCGCCCTCTTCGCGTCCCTTCCGGATCCTGTGCTTGGCGCCCTCTTCTGTACTCTCTTTGGTAAAATTCCTTTTCCTTGATAGCCCGCTTTCCTCTCAGGCTCCTCTTGCTTCACATTTGCTGATTTTTAATAAGGATCATGGCTTTTTGCTGAATCCCTTCAGTAAGATGAAAAGGTAACACATTTCTGTTTTAAAATACAAAAGGATACACCTTCAAAAAATAAAACCTACATCAATCTCTGAGTTGAATTTATGTTAAAGGTAGAAGAACCAAATGTAGAATAATTGTGCTAGGAAAAATAAGATGAAATTAATCTCCTTAGTTGGTATTTCTAATCGATTTAACTCAAATATCTTCCCCTCTGAATGGGCCATTAAAACTGACCATTTTTACAGTGGGGCTCGATTTGATCTTTGCGCCATTCAGTTGTAGTAATCAGGGACCAAATATTTGGGAGGGTTTCCCAATTTAATCAAAATGGTTTTGTAGAAGTTTTAAGGGGGAACCAATGTGCTTAGTTTTCTTCTTGGTCTAAAGAAAGCATAGTGTGAGGTTTATGCCCCTGAATAAGCCCAAATAGTGCTTAGGCCGAGGGTCATTTGAATCAGAGACCCTGGTGGTCACATTCTGACCCCCTGTCCTGTCACTGTGCTGGTCTCCAGACTTGTTACTGGTGAGACAGAGGAAGCACATGGTAGGGAGTTTGTCTTCTGCTGTGAGGCATCTGTCATCCATGCCATGGGTGAGCTCACGGAGCTTGTCTGATGTTTCTCTCCAGGAATGATCACAGCTGTTGGACTCTCGAACCTACAGTTCATCGATTTAAATTCTTCCCGGAACCTCTTTGTGCTTGGATTTTCAATCTTCTTTGGGCTCGTCCTTCCAAGTTACCTCAGACAGAACCCTCTCGTCACAGGTAGGGAAAACAGGCCTTGAACCTGAGGGGAGTTGGAATCACAATCATCCTCAGTCGGAGAGTTAGGAGTTGTTCTGGTGAATGTTGGTCTGTGTATTTCATGTGAATCTCACTTTGCCGAAGTTTATCTGGAAGTTCTTCCTGCATGAGCGCATAACTGATGTACATGTTTTTTAACCAGGACGCTATCCTTTGGGAGAATGCCTCCATGTAGAACCTTTTGATTTCTCAGACTAATGCTGTATTAAAATGTATAATTTATTGAAACTCCACTTCATAGACTTTGAAATACATGTTTTTCTACTGGGATTATAGCTACTTTGAATTCAAGATTAACCTTTAAACTCCTTTTTATTTTAGGACCGCAATGTCATGAGGAATGAACAAAGGGAGCCATCTTAAGAAATAGCTATTGCTACTGACATTTTATGTAGAATTGGGGACCATTTTATATATATTCTTGAGGTGAAATTCACATAACATAAAATTAACCATTTTAAAGTGAGCAGTTCAGTGGCATTTAGTACATTCACAATATTGTGTAATCACCAGCTGTATCTAGTTTGCAAAACATTCTCATCACCCCCAAATAAAATTCCTTACCCTTAATCCACATCATATGCCTTCTCCCAGCCCCTGGCAACCACCAGTCTGCTTTCTGTTTCTGTCGATTTACCTATTCTGGATCTTTCATATAAATGGAATTATACAATCTGTGACCTTTTGTGTCTAGTTTTTTCACTCAACTTCTTGTTTTCAAGATTCATGCATGTTATAGCACGTATAAGTAGTTCATTCATTTTTATGGCTAAATAATATTCCATTGCATGTATATACCATAATCTGTTTATCCATTTATCCATTGATGGACATTTGGGTTGTTTCCACCTTTTGACTATTGTGACTAGTGCTGTTATGAACATTGGTATACAAGTGCAGCCTGTTCTCATTCATGGTAGTTATGTTCTGTGAAGTCACTGTGAACATGGAATGAACAAATCCTGAACTATTGCTCCTAGGGGAAATATGGCCAACAGCACCATAACTCAGGCCTGAATGAAGCTCATCTAATACATGTCTTTTCTCCATAAGGCATGTCACGGCTTTCTTGCAATTAGGAGCACTAGACAGCACTTCAGCACAACACTTAGTGGCCATTTTAAACAGCGAAATCACCAACGAAAAAGCACAAAAATGCAAAAAAAAAAAAGAAAAAAGTGGTACCAAATAGGCTGCTAAAAGGACATTTGTTTACAGTATGAGCTGAAACAAGAAGGCAGAGCATTGACCTTGTTTGATCTCAGCTGGGAACATGCGTGTTGAGCAACTCAAATTTTTCCCTGCTCAGTGCATGTCCGTGAATGACTGTGAAAGCCCATGAGTGTTCATTTGGGTTTACAAATAAATTTTACTGTGTAGGCGAATTCACAAACTGCCAATAATGATGATTGACTGTATTTGAGTACCTGTTTTTCACTTCTTTTGAGACTATACCTAGAAGTAGAATTGCTAGTTCATATGGTAACTTTTATGTTTAGCTTTTTGGGGAACCACCAACTTATTTCCCACAGCGGGTGAACCATTTTACATTCCCACCAGCTGTGTACAAGGGTTTCTGTTTCTCCACATTCTAACCAACACTTGGTATTTTCTGTTGGGGATCATATTTTAAATATAGAAAGTATGTGAACTTCCAATAACAAGGAGATTCTTGCTGCTTTTTACATTTTAATATATCACATTCATGTGTGGACATCTTTATAAATCCAGTTGCTTGCTCCTAATTAAAAGCAGTTAAGCACTAATTAGTAACCCAGGATTCTAAAACCCTTTATTCGAATTGCAGATACCACAAATATTTTTGTTGTCTTGTTGCTCACTTTGTAATTTTTTCAGCCTTGCAACAGCCATCTTTTATATTGATTTTTCTTTTTTCATCTGCAAACAACACCCCCAATGGCTTAATAATTCTTTATAGGGTGAACTTCACTGTATTAGATTTATCTGTGCACCATTGTTAGGAATTTTTCTTATGGAGATACCTTTTGATTATTGTTGAAAGTATTCATAGTAGTTTATAACATTACTGGCATAAATTTATCTACACATCCACAACAGAAATTTACACTGTCATGCACTGCATTGACTGGTGATTAGTCCCACCCCAGGGCTCCTTTCTAAGTCAAGGGCAGGCCCGTCCTGGCTGTGGCAGTGACCCTGTTGCTATGGTCTGTTTCCAGGGATATCAGGAATCGATCAAGTATTGAACGTTCTTCTCACAACTGCTATGTTTGTAGGAGGCTGTGTGGCTTTCATTTTGGATAACACCATCCCAGGTATGTGGTTTATGTCATACATGCCCGTTACAGATATGAGTTACTTTTTGCCAAATAAATATGAAAAGCAGGAAGAGGGAATCAGTTCAAAGTCATCACTGGTTAAAGCTGTCTTTTCTAAAGTAGTTAAGATGACACTCCCAGCCTCCTTTTATGAATCAATTTTTTGCTAATAAACTTATTAGTTGTTGTTTTTCCTTCTTGCTGAATTACTTTTAGGAGAAAGCAGGTAAATTCTTGGCACATGGTGACATGGTAGGGCGATGCCTTGGGCATGCCCTAGGCTACCTGCCCTCCCAGCACAGCCTTGCCCAGTGCCCTGCAATTTGGCTTTCATCGACTTGTTCCCACACTCCTTTGAGCTAGCTGGTAACAGCCTTCAGCACTTCTCCTCCTTGAGCAGCCTATCCTTTAATGAGTCCTTCTTAAGACAGGTCCCCAGCCAACCAAAAGACCTTCTTAAGATAGGTCCCCAGCAGACCAAAAGACAGCACAGTGGGCACAGGCCACTGCCAGGACCAATGACTGAGAGATGGGTGAAGGCAGCTGTCTCCCCAACACCCATAACCCTTGTTTCTCAGCTGGGCGCATTCTGTGCCAAGTGCTGAGTGATGGAGTAGGATGGGATGTAGGCCCTGCCTTGCGGCCTTCCCAAGTTCCTAGAGGAGGCTGCTGTGTACATTGTATGCTGCCACGGATGCACTGGTAGACTCACCTGCCATCAAGGAAGTGATGCTTACTCTTGAGCTTGAAGGTTTTTGTTTGTTTGTTTGTTTGTTTTTGAGGAAGATTAGCCCTGAGCTAACATCCATTGCTAATACTCCTCTTTTTGCTGAGGAAGATTGGCCCTGGGCTAACATCCGTGCCCGTCTTCCTCTACTTTGTATGTGGGACGCCACTACAGCATGGCTTGATAAGCGGTGCTTAGGTCCACGCCCGGGATCCGAACCCATGAACCCCAAGCCACTGAAGCGGAGTATGCATACTTAACCACTGTGCCACTGGGCCGGCCCCAGAGCTGGAGGTTTTGTTGAAATTTTCCCTTTAAAACAACCCACTTGCAAAAATCATCAATCAAGAGGTGTCAGGTGAGGCTGTGGAAACACGGGATGAATGTATCTGGTGGAAGGAATCACCTGCATGAATAGGTGGAAGGTGTTAGATTTATGAGTCAATAACTAACACTCTCTTTCTCTCCTAAGTCAGAACTAACTGAGAGAGGTACAGGAGTCAGGGAGATGGAAGTGAAAGTCAAATTAAAGTCAGCTTTGTTACTGCAACACTGATAGGAGGGCAGCATAGCTTAGATGTAAGAAAATGATGAGGTTCCTGAATACCGCACCATAGACTCGAGCTCGTGGCAGGGGCTCGGGCACAGAAAGATATTGTTAGGTATCCCATGTAGCCAAGAGCAGCTGCCACTGCTCCCTTCTGCACGGGGAAGATTTGTGAAAAGAAGTCCAGGAGCTGCTGAGCCCTGGGGCCAGCATCTTTCTCCCTGACTCATCTGTCAGGGTACAGAGTGGCCCGGACTGTTGCGGTAGTGGAAGTTCCTCCTCCTCCGAGCACAAGTGGGGAATACATGGCAAGTGCAACACACACACACACACACACACACACACGAAAATGGAGCAAAGCAGTATCAAAGTTGGTGCATCTGCATGAAGGGGGTTGCCATGACCAATTGATGAAGGCGTCGTCTATGGTATAATAAAGACTCTGGGCCCCGTTTTGGAAGATCAGATTTGCATTTTAGAGAGAAGTTTTTATGTTGTTTTTTGCACACTGTTTGAAAACAGTTTTGGGGGAGGGGATGGTGAGATAGAAGACTGGACAACCAGTTAAGAGGCTAATACGGTGACCCAGGAAAGCAGTAACATAGCCTGGGCCAGACCTCAACGGTGAAAATTGAAAATAAGCATCACGTGGAAGGACAGCAGGAGACAGCGTCATCAGATCATCTGAATGTGGGGCGAAGAGGAACAAGGATGGGTTAGCGATTCTTGGATTTCTGGTGTGGGCACCTGGATAGCTGAGGCCCATCACCTGCTCCTCAAGTGTGCTTTGCTGTCATCCCGGCAGGTTCCATCTATGGGACAGCATGTTGGAGAATCTCAGTTCACGGTAGAACACTTAAGCTAAGCATTGCCTTGTTTTGTTTTGTTGTGTGTGTTCCACAGGTACTCCAGAGGAAAGAGGAATCAGGAAGTGGAAGAAGGGCGTGGGTAAAGGGAGCAAGTCACTTGATGGCATGGAATCCTACGATTTGCCATTTGGCATGAACGTTATTAAAAAATACAGATGCTTCAGCTACTTACCCATCAGCCCGACCTTTGTGGGCTACAACTGGAAAGGCCTCGGGAAGAGCGCTAACAGCCGAAGTTCAGATGAGGACTCACAGGCCACGGTATAGCCATAGCTCGCCCTGTGGCCCAGCCGCAGTGAGGCATGAATCTGTAGTTCCTTGCTGAATAACAAGCGGTAACATATATGTTTGTATATCTGCATTTACATTCTGCACCCCAGAGCTAAGACAGATTACAAATAGCTTTTTTGTTGTGGGTGGTGACTGTGTCTGATATGGTGTCTCACCTGTCTCCTTGTTTAAGCCCTGACCCCTTGCCCTTGAGAGCATCCATTGCTGGCCATAGTCACTGAACTTGAAGTTCCTGTTCTCCTGTGGGAGTGGATGTTTGAAACCCACAGCGATTTCTGGTTTTCAGTCCCCTTCCAGCACCCCGTGCTAGCTTTCCTACAAGCTGCCTCCAGGGTCCAGGGGCCTTCTGTCCCAGAAGCACCTGAACTGGCTTTTTTTTTTTTGCTTGACCTTGGCCTGAACTGCAGAGACCACCTCTGGTCAAGGGGCACCACCATCCTCGCAGTCACAACTGACGGGTCAAGTGTCATTCTGTGTTCCCTGATACTCCTGTAGGAGGACGCTGTTGACCTGATTGAAAACAGTGACATGGTCACCCTGTGTCCAGATCTGTGCATGAGTAAAGTCTGTACAGATATTATCAGGATGGAAATCTGGGGGCTTAGAGGGGAGGGGAAAGTACCTTGAAATCAGTATCTGATTTTCAACTGCTCTTTCTTGGTGCAACCCAGATCCAGGCCGGGTCGGCACATTTCGTACCGGCCTCACTTTGACTGGTAGCTGAGACACTCTATCTGGCATTTGTCACTCCTGGCTGGTATGATGGGTATAGAGTGCCACACAAGGGCACCAAGCAGATGTTTATGGGAGTCTTAGCTCTGCTGTCACGTGGATGTCAGTTATTGTCATGCGTGTCTATAATTACAAGATTTTATTCCTATTTAATGTTATTGACTATAGCAGATTTTTGAAATCAGTGTTTTTCCATGTGCTCCTCTTACCTTGCATCCCTATTACTTCTCGCCCACCCCCCCCACCCCCCCATTAAGAAAAGAACCAGCATTTGTAAAGCTGTGGACACCATCAGGGAAGCTTATTGTCATGGCTTTTGAAGGCCAGTAACCATTGTTGTGGTTGTGTTTTGTATTGCTTGATACCACGAAAGTGTAAATACTGTAATGCCTAATCTATTTATCAAAACTGACTACTGGACCAGAGCCCAGAAACCATGGGTTAAGTTATACGTGAATTTGTTTTGTGAAGAAGGGAAGCTGGGGCAGGTAACACACAGAGCCGCCGTATTGAATGGTCTGGCATCCTGATAAATTCATCACATGCAGTTCTAGTGCAAGTCATTTCTGGCAGTTAAGGCTTAAGGAGACTTTCTGTGGGTTGCCATATTGCATGTCTGCTGAATCCTGATTTTACAGAGGGGGAGATTAGATCCCCTGGCCAAATGCTGCCTTTCTTGTTTAAGTTATTGCAGAAGGTGTTGAGAAAAGCAGCTCGCAGGCCTTCTCTGTTGAGTTCTAATTAATAACACTAAATTGTTTCTAAAAAAAAAAATGACTTCAGTTGAATTTGGTTTGAAATTTTTCAGCCAAAGGAAAAGCCTCACTTCATGAGGTTGTGCTTCTAAGTATTCGTTGACCTGGTTGAGTCTTAGGTGGCAGTGGGCATTCCTGTCTCCAACAGCAGAGCATGGTTCTCGGCAGCCTTGTGTCCACACGGTACATTTCCTGCCCCCAGAGCTGGCTCTGCTTCACTGCATTGGGATGTCTTTGGCAGCATTATTGTGTCACTATAGCCTCCTCAACTCTTGGAAAGGTTGGGACCTCAAGGCTTATTCCAGCAAGAATACTTCAGAGCCACTGCATTGTTTTGCCAAGATCTTATTGCAGATTAAGTAAAAAATCTAGATTCTAAATTACATTTAATTTTGTATGTCATGTTTTTTTTAAATTGTATGTGATGCATAATTACTTTAGAAGCACACTGGTTAACGGTTTTCATCTCTTCAACTTGATAAGCCCTCGAGACTGACAGCCCTCTTATGCTGATTGCTCTCAGTTACTTCTATGTGTATTTTGCTCAGCATCTCCAATTTCTCTACTTTGAAAAATGGGGAAAACTGTTAAACATCCCAGAGATTTGCACTATTCCAGCTCTAGGTGAGCAGAAGGACCAAATATCCAAGAAAAGCATCTGAACCATTGGTAATTCAGGAACAAGTTCCCTTCAATTTAACTTGACCGGGCATTTTCCCTCCCAGTGAGTAAGCACTCGGTATGTGCTTCGAATGTCCAGAAACCCACTCCCTTCTGAAACCCCTCCTTGGGCCGGGTTTTATTGGGAGGTTTCAAATCTGCAGGTCCCCGCGGTATGTCTTCTGCAAGTATTCAAATGTGGTGGGAAGCCCTGTACCAACACCTCCTATTGGAAAGAGGGTTGTCACCCTTCTTGTTCTATTGGGGCCAACTTTAGATTCTCTGTCCAAGGGTGGGGAAGGGGGCAGCAGGTGGGGAGGAAAGAGGGCAGCCTGACTAGAGGCCCCATTGAATCTGGTACTTTCTACACAATCTGTGAAACTCACTTTCGCTCGAGGGATTGGAGTCTCATGATAACTAATAAATCTTGCACGTGCAGCGCACACCAACCATTTTAGGAGGTGATCCTCCTGCCAGCAAATATGCTACAGAATGAGTCTAATTGAAAGAAAAATGTGTTCATCTGCTCCTTGGGGTTAAGCACACACCTGAAGGGGGAGGTTTTGGGGGACACAGTGGCCATGCATGGTCTCTGCCTGTAACACTTCCCACTTACATTGTTGGCCTGCACTGGTGGGGCTGCATACCCACCCTGCTTTGTTTGGCTAAGAGAATGTGTTAAGATATTATGGATGTAAATATCCTTGGGCAGGGCATTCAGCCTCCAGTTTCCACAGCAACCACGTACCCACAATCCTCACATTTACCTTGGTGATCCCTATGTGGAAAGTAGAAAGTATAAGGACGGTAGATGTTGCCCATATCACAGGGGGGGGGCAAGGGAGACCCCACCACTGGTTTTGATAAAATATGTAACATGGTTCACAGAATTATGGGAAATGGTTCCAGTCTTTATAAGCAACTTTTATTCTCCTTCTCATTAGGGAATTCAACTTAAATTCATTGCTACTGAATCTTTCTTACGAGAATTTCAAATGTTAACTTTTAGTAAGTTTCTTGTGATTGATCAGGGCAGGAAAAGTGGCTTAACCAGGCCAGCTAGAATGAAGCATCATGGGTCCTGATGGTTTCCCGTTTTCATGGTAACAAATTCACACACAGGATTTGCTTTATACTGTAGAATACTGACTTTCATGATGACACTTTGGTTTATGCATGAATATTGCAGTATTTCCATATAATAAGATAACATTTCTACCCAGGATAATAGTCACAGTTTTCCAGGGAGGGAATGGTATAATTTTCATGACAATGTCATGTGATGATAGAATTTCTCCATTGATGAATCTCTAGTATGTGTGTATACTTTATTTACCCCTGTGTATATCTTATGACCGTGAGCTAAGTTGTTATTTCTTTAATTCGTGTCCCTGCTGAAATATTGTTACCAGCAACTTAGACTTGAAGTTGGCAACTACAATCTTCCATAATACTGATGCCACAAGAGTGGCCAGGCCAGATAAAAGGTGAATAAGGAAGGAGCTGTGGCGGAGGCCTCATTCCAGAACCTGTCTGGTGTGAGGAGAGGCCGCTTCCTGCAGGCGGCTGTGTTGCATACACTCGGCTGCAGACACCAGGCCCAGTGTGGCTGTCGCTGGACGCCTGGTGTGCACACCCAGCCACGCCCCCTGGATACCATGGTAGTGTGCTGCACACGTGCCTCGGCTTGCACAGGGCCCAGCGAGCCACCCCTTGGCTTTAGAGAAGAGCCTGGGGTCTCTCATTTTGTGCATGTTGTGCTCTGTCCCCTTATGGTTTGGACACAGAACAGGACATCTCCCACCCTCCACCCCTTCTGCAGTCACAACCGGAGTGGTACGAGAAGGCCGCCCATCTTTGCCAGCGTTCAGCTTCTGCCCGTGGACTCGTAAAGCACGTTAGCACTGGGGATCCCCTTTCAGCAGCCTCACACATTCCTGTCCTTGTAGGTTGTTCTAGACTGTGCCTCGTCATCGCTCTCCGTGAGTAACCTCCAGCGTCCTTACAATTGCTGTGTGTCCCCTGGCACTTAGGACGCCCTGACCAGCGTTGCCACCTTACTGACAGTTCAAGTGATACCCTTTTTTGTTCATTCATAACAACCTTTGTTTGACACGTTAATACATTTCTAACTGTTCTTAAAACAGTGGGGATACTTATGTTTTCCTTGAGTTTTGGTGACTGACTTGGGCTATCTACCTTTCTGGGATTTTGTTTGTTTTTATTTCGCATACCGAGGGTATTTGGGGTGGGGTAATTCTTTTACGGAGTTTTTAAAAAATTTTCATATTGTTTTTCTAACATGGCTTCATTAAACGTTTAAGTATTTTAAAAATATGTAATATTTGGACCAGATGTTGTGAATAATAGTAGAGATAAAGCTATTTTATTCTGTATTTTTAAAACTGTTCCGTATAAATAAAAGCTCTCCTGGACGCAGTTCTGCTGTTCACCTGCCTCCTCCTTTGGTCTTTAAGAAACCTGTCATTAATTAAAAATCATCACCCAGGGGAGGGAAAGCGACTAGTAAAAAATTCAGTTTAGGGGCCGGCCCGGTGGCACAGCAGTTAAGTGCGCGCGCTCCGCTTCAGCGGCCCAGGGTTCGCAGGTTCGGATCCCAGGCGCACACTGACGCACCACTTGTCAAGCCATGCTGTGGCAGCGTCCCATAAAAAGTAGAGGAAGATGGGCACGGATGTTAGCCCAGGGCTGGTCTTCCTCAGCAAAAAGAGGCGGATCGGCATCAGATATTAGCTCAGGGCTGATCTTCCTCACCAAAAAAAAAAACTTCGGTTCAACAAGGCACTCATGTTACCATTGTCGGGTACCTGGAAGACTCAGAGGAGGACAGCAGGAGCCAGTGTCATCGGCCCGCACGCCTAGAGAACCACGCGGCTCCTTGGGAGGCGGCCTGAGCAGGTAGTGAGACCTCAGTTAGAGCATGCGCTCGTGCTGGACTTTGGGGTGAAATTACGAGTCTCTTATTAAGTCAGCGACATCTGGAGGCTGGAGACCTTTTAGAGACCGGTGACCAGAAAGGCTGTCCACCATGGAATCAAAGGCTTCCAGAGCAGCCTCGGCCCATCAGGCTGACTGAGTATTTAGACTGGAGCAGGAAATGCCAAGATATGGGTGCCAGAAAAGGCTCGGAGCCGAGCCTGAGAGCAGCTGGTGACGGCTCCTTCAGTCAGAGACCTGGCTCTCCACTGGGGTATGAAGATGAGTCCAGAGGAGCTTAGGTGTATTTCCTAATTTAGAGCAAATGTAGAGCTCCCCCATTCCCATCTGCATCCCTGGTTCTTCTCTAGCAATTTGGTCCATGCATAACCACCACAGCTGCTCCCATAGGGTGTGCAACCTGATGCCTCCTGTTCCCAGTACCCTGCCCTGTGAGCCCCTGCTGGGCAACCAGTCACAAGGTGAAATGTTTTACCTTACATTATATACATGCAAAAAGTGCGTGTAAGTATTAAAAAAATAAGAATACCCGTGTTCCCACCCCTAGCTGGGACAACAGCGCACTACCCATACTTCAGACCCCTGCACTACCCTTTGGGCCTCTCTCCTGGTGCATCCCCATCCCTCTCCAGGAGACAACTACTACCTGGATTTTGGATTTATTCTTTCCTTGCTCTTTTTCACAATTTTGCCATATATATATGCATCCCTAAACAATTTACTATTTAGTTTTAGTTTGCATGGTTTTGAACATTACATAAAAGGAATGACGGTGTGTACTGGAACATTTCACTCACTATTGTGAGATTCTTTCATGTTGGCACATATCTATAATGTAGTTCGTTTACTACTGGGTAGTAAAATTTAAGAATCACAAAGACAAAGACCATTCTGAAAGCTTCCAGAGAAAATGAGCAGAAGCAAAGCCTAGAGCTGGGATCATGGACGTCAGATTTTCCAGCAACAACCCTGTTGGTGGAGTTACATTTTTAAGGACTAAAGGAAAAGAACTTTGAACTTAGAATTTTATGTCTAGCTACTCAAAGGCCCCCATTTAAATACTTCAGATGAAGTACTTAAATATGATAAGAAACAAACCTAGGAAATGCTGTAGGAGAGAACTGAGGGGAAGATGAGCAGTAAATACCTTGGTAAACTTGGTGTCAGTCCGTTCTGGCTGCTATCAGAAAACCATAGACAGGGTGGCTTAGAGACAGCAGACATTTCTCACAGTTTTGGAGGCCGGAAGTCAAGGCACTGGCAGATTCGGTGTCCTGTGGGAACCTGCTTCCTGGTTCATAGACGACCATCTTCTCGCTGTGTCTTCACATGATGGATGGGGCAAAGGATCAGTCTCTTTGGGGCCTCTTTTATGAGGCACTAATCTATTCATGAGAGCTCCAACCTCATGAACTAATCACCTCCCAAAGGCTCTACCTCCTAACACTATCACATTGGGGATTAAGTTTCAACATATGAATTTGGGGGGACACAAATGGTCTAGCACCTGATTGCTCAAAAGTAGCGAGGGCCAAAGAAAGAAAAAATATGTCTATAATGATCTCAAATTATAATTTGAGGCCATATCAACTTGATGATGGGGAAAGAGAGGAGACTTACAGAGGTGAGAGAAAGAGGCCCAAATGTACCAATAACTATAAATGGACTAAACTTGCCAATTGAAAGATAGACTGTTGGACCAGATAGTAGAACAAACCCCTGATATATGCTGTTTACAATACTGGTGTTCAAAAGTGTGGCTGTG